GGGGGGGGCGGGGGGGGGGGGGGGGCATCAAAACGATCAAATATATAAATTTTATTATCAATAGAACAAATTATAAATCACAATTTATTATCACTAAAATACATTATAAATCAAAACACATGCAAAGAAAATATCCTAACTACCTACTTCCACATCTAAAACTATATATCTGATCACAAATTCTGTACAATCAAAACTCAAAATATGCGTTATGCATTTCTAAATATTTTGTAGTGTACAGAAGGCAAAGTTAGGGTTCTGTATTCACAAAATATCAAGATAATTCACTTACCGAAACGCGTTGGAATCAAGTATAACCTCTCAATAGCTTCAGATCTTTTCATTTAAACAATCAAACCTCTTTATAAAGCATTCGATTTCTATAAAATACACAGAATCTATACAGGAAATTTAGCCATTCTTCTAGTATTTTATAAAAAGAATCGTTTTGGGCGGCCTGTGCCGAATCAACACTTCCGCTTTCTGAAAGTGAACTTCTTTTCCACTTTCCTTTTCTGCAAATTTCCGACCATCTTTTTCGAACTTTTTCGACAATCTCGTTCCCAGAGTAGGACTGTTCGCGGGTTAGGCAGTGCCACTACTTAACCCGCGAACAGGTATAATCTGGGAACGAGATTGAACAAAATATTGACCGTCTCAGTGTATAGGACCTTTTTAAACTATATAATTTGGGGGGGGGGGGCACTTCACACTTCGATTGCAAGGAGCCCCCCAATTTAGCCCCAAGTCAAAGTCGCTTATCTCTAAAATGTAAGCAAAACATTGGAACGAAAATGAAATTTAGAAGCAAGGTTTGATATTCTAGTGTTTATTCTAGTATTTGCTTTGTGATTCTTATGTCATGTCCTTTATCTTCAAATGATTGGATACATTGTGTTGTAAATACCTTAGACTTTATAGATCTGAGTTGTTGGAAGGCCAACCTCGTACCCAGGATTGAACAACCTCGTACCCTTTCCTGTTGGAAGGCTAGGCTAAACACGTTGGTGACCGAGTTGTGGTATTTACGAATTCTTAATACTAAAAAAGACCCTGCACCGTTACGAATTGTACGGGTCGTGGGTGTAATTCAGATGGTCACTATCTGTAAAATGGTTTACGGAACGCGAACCTGGTTTCACGATCTGTGAAGCATCAACATGTATAGTGGCACAAGGTCATTGCATGTACAAGGTAGACCCCAAAACATGGACGATCGGTGCGATACACAGACGTATTATCAGGCGAACTAATTTACTTTCCCAAATCCGTGCCTACTATCAATCGAGCCATTACGAAAAGCAATGAAGGTCAAAGTTACATAGAATAATTTATATTTTATTTAAGAAAAAATACACGGATATACCTTTACTAACACTATTATTCTTTTGAAGATTCAGGATAGATTTGCTAGCTTACAAGTATACTGCACAGCAAAAAGTAGGTTCACATTTTGCACTTACATTATTCTATAAAGGTAAAGCAAAATGAGTGTCACATTATTAGTTAGGCTTTTCAGTTTTTTCTCTAGAAAATTACTATCTTTAATGTTTGCTTTTAAATTATCCAACACTTCTTTCTTATAAGCATCAAATACTCCTATATATAGCGTTATGACTAGGTATAAGCGCGAGACGACTAAACTAAACAAATCTGGACGAATCTTTTTATGCAAATCTTTTTATGCAAATGATGCCGTACGAAAGATACGTATTCAGACATAAAGCTATCCAATGAGTTTATATCATAATACAAAAAATTATTTTAATCCTAAGACGAAGGACTATTTAACTAGTATAGTCATTGTCCTACGGCACAATGAGGCCTTACAGGCAAAATATTTGATCTCAGTAATATCTCGGAAATTACAAGATGTCCATCTTTCCATGAAATCGTCACACTTTATAAGTATATATTGGAAATATTTTATGACTATTTCAGAAATACTGTATTTGCATGTATTCCGCGCGCACGTTTTTCCTCTACGTGGTCGCGAACGTCTCAAGTCACAGCACGCGCAGAGTATCTTCGCGTTAAACGCAAGCACTGCACAGTTCCCACTTCAATTTCTATATGTTTTGCTAGGACAGCGTAACCCCTGCGGCAGTAAAATATTTCTGAAGGCAGGCTAAGGCATCTGGTGACAAGCTTGATTTAATCATTGGTGTGACCTAGAAGAGACATTATTAAGCATCAGTAAAAATGACAACAATTAATAAGCTGCCGTGTTTTGGGTCTCAAACGCGGTGGTTCAAGCAGGGGTGGAAAAAGTATCGGAACCTGGGAACCTAGTTCCCAGAAATTTTTTTGAGTTGAGAGTTTTGCAGAAAATTTTCCACAAAATATTTCAACATTTTGAGATAACTCTGTTTACTCAACTTACAAGCTACAACTATTCTACTTTATTTACACTGTACACGCTAACATCAGCAGCCTTTTAAATATTTGACAGAAATTAATTCTTTTACCCACCCCTGCCATCACAATGAGGTAAAATGGTAAGTATATGCTCTGCAAAGTCTCCAATAAAATGCAAATTAAATAGTAAACAAATAAAAGTGATGGAATAAATAAGATGATAGGACACTTAGTTAAGCATTAGATCCTCACTAGTTGGTCATCAGGGGCGGATTTAGACCGTTGCAACTGTAGCATATGCTACGGTCAGATTTTCCATAGGCCAGTTCTAACATGGATCATAAAATCAATCTAAAATATAATTTAGCAATATTTTGTTTACTTTCCTTGTT